CAGAAAAGGAGATTTCTAAAATGCTGAGCAGCTGAAGTTGGTCTCAGCTTCACAATTGCTCATTTCACACCTCCCCATGGGCAAATGGGTGTTGGAACACAGCAGTGGGAGCTCTGACTGCACCAGACATCAGCAAAAACCCTGGGCTGCCTGCCTTGCTTGCTTTGCTTACCTTGCTGCCTGCATAGAAAAAAGCCACAACAAATGTAAATACATTGCACTACACATCCCCAGCTCTCGTGAGAGAGGAGGGATGGCTGGAGCTGATCCAGAGGGGAGCAGGGAATACAGCCCCCCTAGCCCAGCCAGCTGCACCCTGTGTGGTCGGGGACAGCCCAGCTCGCTGCCATGGGAGGGACAGGTCCACACTCGGCAGAAAACTGGGAAAAACGCTGAGATCTTATTAGAGATCTCAACAGCAACATTACAAGAGCTGCTGCCTGCCCCAGGTGGCTCTGGGGTCAGAGAGGAGCCCCCCCGACACTGCTGCACTCCACCAAAGCAAATATAACAACATGGGTTGTAAACCCGTGGCTGGTACAAAGTAAGAACTAACATGAGGAAGGGGAAATCTTATTAAAGCCATGCAGATCACTTGGGAGGCAGGGCTTATTTGGGCAAAATGCATTTTAATCTGATTTTAATGAGACTGATATTTTAAAAAGGATGTTGAAGAACACTACTGGGGATGTAGGAAAAAAAAGCTGTACACAGAATTTCAGTCTGCGGAGTTGGTTAGGCTCCATCTGAAAGTGGCAGCATTAAGGAGTTTGAATTTTTTAAATTATCAAAAAGGAAATGGAGAGGTAACTTGATTACCCTGGAAATCCACAGGGAAAGAGTAATGGTTACTATACAATTAAGGTATAGCATTCAGGTTAAAGAAAGGTATAAAAAGGAGGAATAGCAGAAAGCTGAAGCCAAATACATTCAAATGAGAAATCCAGCACAGTTTTTAGCAGTGAGGATGATTAATTACTGGAAAAAATTACCAAATGAAGCAGCTGATTAACAGTCTCCCAGTGTTTCAAATTGTGACCAGCTGTCTTCAGCCCAGAGTGGACATCTTCAGCTGAACAAAATGGTGACAGAATATTTTCAGTGATTTTGGGGACTGGATGAGGAGCAGTGGCCAAGAAGTTTCATCTCAACCTGAGGAAGAACTTCTTTACCCTGAGGGTGGCAGAGCACTGGAACAGCTGCCCAGGGATGATGGCAGTCTCCCTCTCTGGGGACGTTCCAAACCCACCTGGACTTGTCCCTGTGTCCTCTGCTCCAGATGGCCCTGCCTGGGTGGTGGAGCTAGACTGAGTGATCTCCACAAATCCCTTCCAACCCTGCCAAGCCCCACACACCTCTTACAGCTGCTCTGTGGCTCCCTGTGGCACCCCATCCTGCTGGACACATCCTTGAGCACAGTTCTTAGGAGCTGCCTGGCTCAGCTAGCCCAGGAATTGTTTGGAAACAAGTCTGGGCTTTTCCTCACTGTTGCAGTGCTTGCCACTTTTTGCTGGGTTTGTTAAACACAATCATGTTTTAAATATTGCACAGAAATTTGGACTGAAATTCTCTCTGGCAGCAAACACACACAAATGCACTGAAAAAGAGAGATTCCCACATACAAGGCTATAACTGACAATCATTCCTCATTCCATCATTCCTCAGCAGAATTGCTACATTTATATTGTTAGGTGAAGCTACACAGAGCCTGGCACAGAGTCCATTAAGAAATCCCATTGTCTCTCTGGAGAACACTCAAAAGCACAGGCACTAAGATGCTGCGTTTAGAAAGATAATGGATAAAGATGAAATCAGTTTTTCAGATGAGTCTTCCATTTCCATAGGGGCTGTCTTTATGGTTTCAATGATGTAGAGTAAAAAGAGAGAGTATTCACTTCCTAATGAAATGAAAAATTTTATTAATTTGGGGATATTCATTCCTTTAAGAGCTTCACTCCTTGAGTTCATTAACTCTTCAAATGTGGTTTGAGCTGATGCTGCCTTCCAGTCCTTGCCAGGATTTTCTTTCTGTTCTCTGGTCCAGGCCAAGACACAAAGAGTTTGCCAAGCCCTAACATAATGCCTACAGTTACTGAGAAGAGAGATTTCCTATCAAATGATCAGAGAAATTTCCTCATATTCAGATACCCTGATATTGTCAGCTGTTCAATCTGGCTGACTCCTGTAGCAATTACAGATCTCACCCTGGTCCTGCAAAGCATCCAGACCTTAGTAATTCATGTGATTTTCAAGGAAAACCATGTGAGTTTTTGTTTTTGAGCCAAGTGAGGTGTGGAAGTAGTTCCAGCTGAATGGCCAGGGGGATCTGTGTGCGTGTGCTCTGCAGAGCTGGGGAGCAGCTCCTTGATGCTCCTGGGCTCCTGCAGAGTCTCAGTCATGCAGAGCCCCATTAGCAGCACTGAGCATTGGCTTTTGGGTTATTTGATTTAAGCACCCACCAGTGTGTGTGAGGTTTCAGCAGCATATGAGATTTGGAGAGCCTGTCTATTTACATCATCAGGGGTGAGCAAGAGCATGAGAATAAATTCTTTGATTACAAAACATGATTTCTGAAGCTACTTTCTATGTAGTCAAAATGATGCTTTTATTAAAATACAGGTGAAGAAGGTGTTACAGCAGCTTAAAAGTGAATTTCTGTTTTTTTCTTTCTTTTCTGTCCCATTTCCCTTAAAACATTCAATGCTCTTGGCACTGCATGATGCTTTCTTAGTCTTAGTTAAATATTTTCTGTGATTGAGATGTGCCCACCTGCAAGCTGATTAAAACGTTTGCATAGCTTTGCATTGTGGAACTCATCTTCACTCTAAAACTCTACAGGAAACAATCTCTAAAAATGAAGCAAAATACCATTGTGGACTCAATCCTGCTATTCTTCCCTAAGCAAAAATGTAAACTCATTGAGTGGGTGTTCTACTGCCACAAGGTCAGCAGCATTTGGTCTTATGTATTCAAAATAACTGCCATGGGATAAGCACATGAAATTTTGCAGTATTTTTGGATTTTGTTTTCTGAAACTAATAAATTATGAAAACATGCTTTCAGGAAGCTAGACTTTGATCTGAAGAAAGTTCATCTGTAATAAAGCCAAAGGAAAAGAGCAGTATAGAAACTGATGATGAACAAATTCCTTAATCTATAAATTCTCTGTTTGTCTATACAACCAATCACTTTCTATACATATATATGTGTTTTCTATTTTTGCTCCATCAGCCTTCAAAAGCCAGGAAGTATTAAAGTATGTTCTTCTGGTTCCAAACCACTGTGACTATTTGCATTTTGCTAAACAACACATTTATAAGAACCTAACCCTTTCCATCAATTATCTAGAGTAGAGTGGTTCAACCTCTGGAAAAAAGTTGATGTGGAAATCAAAAGATGGTCTAAAATATAGATGATGGGAAGAGTATCGTTGGTTGTAAAACTGATAAATAGTAAATGAGATTTGTGAGTGAAAAGCTGATCCTTTGAAAAAAGACGTGACAGGAAGAGGGATGGTGATGTGAACTTGTCAAGGTACAGCACTGGAAAGAACAATTAAAAAATAACCAGATTTATTTTTTTTTTACGAGCACATTAGGCATGTGATTTGTACCCTGGTGGATGAGGAACAAGTAGGAATGAAGGAAGGAGCCGTATAACTACTTTGAGGTCCAGAAAGTGACGAGCAATAAAACCATTTAAAGTCCCTGGCTGGAAGTGAAAGGAATGAAGGATGAGGTTGCCAGTTATAGGAGCCAAGGTAATCATCACATGGCTGAGACCTCAACAACAGCAAATAACATCATCTGAAGGGAAGACCAGGCTTGATGAGACACTTTATGGGCAGGAACAGACTGTCCAGGGGCACAGGCAGAGGCTCCAGAAGAAACCTGGATACAACTCTGGACAAAGAAGCAGAGAAATCAGGGAAAAGAATTGGGCGGCTTTGACCTGATCAGCACAGGAGACTTACTGAGGAAAGGATGGTGAAAGGCACTTTTTTTATAATCATTATCATGAAAGTGCTCCTGGGAAGGTGAAGTGGGAGAAAGTAATAAAGACAGCACATTTTGGTTCTCTCCAATAATTGGTAAGATTTCCACATGGAAAATGAATCTACAAAGGAAAGGTATTCCAAAGGCTTTGCTGTTTATTAAGGAATTTGAAAGCAAAGTATTCTGCTGTGGAGACTGGGCAGGAAGTTGAACTGTTGGCTACTTAGTGACTTGAAATTTTAAAATAAATTGTTACAGAAAGTGGAAAGCCAGTGACAAATGATGGTTATAAAAAGGACACTTGAGTCACACACAATTATCCTCCAGCTATCAGGAAAATCACGAACATTACACTCTTGCGCATCTCCTCCCAAATACTGCAATATGTAAGAAGCAGTGTGGCATTTGAAATGCTTGAAGTGATGTGTGTACAGCACTCCTGGAAGGGTCCCTGGTGTTCATGACACTGTTCTCAATAATATGAAGTGCACCTGTTCCAGGGAGTACAGGGCTACTAAAAGTGAGATGTATGAGCAAAGGTGATGTAGCTGTGTCCTGAAGAGGAGAGGATCAATGAAACACCTCAGACCTAAAATATAGCTAAAAAATGTGCAGAGAAAGAAACTCTTTCCATGACTATGACAGGTAAGGGAAAAAGTACTGAACTTCAATTGTAGCAAGCATGACTTAGGCATTATAAGATTGTAGTTCTAGGCTAGCTAAGCACAAGCACACTCTTATTCTATGAGGATTCTCAAAATACATCATGGTGTGCTAAAAAACAGCCCAAATCAGCGCTTCTCAGAATGGGAACTAGCTAATCTGCCACTTTCCCTCAGTGATGGAGCCATGGGAAAGGATTTTCTTCTTCTTCCATGTCTCCTCATTTGAACCACAGTGAAAAAGGCTGTAGGATTTCCATTGCTGAGGTTTAAAGCATAGATTAGGCAGGTTTTTTTCTGCCTGTGTGGGTTTGATATGTAGTTTCAATTCCAAGTGCAAACTTTCAACCGGAAATTTGAGGAAAAGACCCAAACACTCAAATAAAGGATGTTCTTTTCTATCCTCAATTCCACTTCTGCAGCAAAAATTGGAAGCTGTTGGAGCCAAAATCCCCAGCACTTGTGGGACTTTCTATCTTGCAGTGTTGGAAGACAGTTTTCCAGAGTATAGGGCAGAAATTAAGAAGTCTTGGAAAAGCTGGCAGGACTTGGAGAGAGCATCCCTTTTCTGAGGAAATATGCCTCGTGGCAGATCTGCCACAGATCTAAGGATTCTGGCAAGCTTTGCCTGGAAATCAGCCCTGCTCTGTGAGCCAGGCAAAGATTCGGCAAAATTCCTGATCTGAGCTCAAGATGTTTAGAGAGAAATAATTCAGCCTCCATGGCCATAGCTGTGTTCTGATGAATGTTTATGATTAAATTTGGCCAGTTTGTGGCACGAGCTGTTTCTCTCCCCTGATCTCAGAAATGCATTATTTAACAGCATTGAATTCTGTAAAAACCTGCCAGGGCTGTCGATGTGAGGAAAGACCCGCAGGCCACTGGGGCACTACGAGGGCTGTGCTCCTCAGAGTTTCACCACAGAAGCACACTCTGAGCTTTCTGAAATGCAATTTCCTGAGGTGCAGGTGGCAGGGCTGAGGGCAGCATTGCTGAGGGGCCCGGCTGTGCCCGGCCGTGTGGCTGCGGTAATTCCAGTGGGAATCTCCTCACAGAGGAGCCCTCACAGCCAGCACCTGGACACAAACACCCAGTCCAAGGCTTGGCTAAAACATCTGACCCTTTATTCCTAAACATGGCTGAGATTAAAGGGTGAGGGATGAGCAAGAGAGCCGACAGCCGGTGGCTGCCAGGAGCAAGGCCCCACAGGCCCCTACCTCCCCGTTCTGTGCTGTAAGTCGATTTTGGTCATGTTTTTCACTTTTCCCTCCAGTGTTTTTAATTATTTGATGATTCACAGCCTCCCTTTTCTCCAGGAACTGAGTTTAGGGAAGGAATACTTGTTTCACAGCCACACCAGTGCCTGAGGGGAACTCAGGGCTCTCCTTCCCCAGCCGCCCCTTGGGGTGGGCCCTGCTCGTCCCCAGTGCCAAGAGTGACCTTTTGCAGTTCTACCCCATCCTTCAGATGGATCTCTGTGTTACAGCAAAGCTTGCAAGTCATGGAAGAGACAATTACTCCAAGCTTGCTCAACTTCTTCCCAACTTGTACACAGTGGAGTGTTTCACAGCCACAAAAAATGATTTGAGAATACCTTTGTCAGTTAAATATGCTTGTCTATAATTACAAAAGATTCACAGTTAAATTGTCTGTGGGAAAAATGTGGCTGAAAGGTTGAGATTATCTATTTTGAAATTCAAATTTGCATTTAAAATTTACCTGTGGGAAAATTTGAGCCTTAATTTATTTAATTAGTTGCATGGAATCAAACCTTTCAGATATTTCCTGTTTTTTCATGGGGAAGATGGTACCATTATATGGAAAGAGATTGGTTGTTATCGCAGCTAGTTTAATTAAACTCACAACTTTTTCTAATGTTGGATGTAGTCTAGCATCCAGACTGAGACTGTAATAATTTATCATCAGTCTGGACATTTCCAGTAAAATAACAAATGGTTTATTAAAACCATAGGTATTGGCATTGGAACTGCAATTCTGAAAATCATTATAACAGTCACCTATTTCTGTATTTTAAAAGCTTGCAATATTTGTTTGAAAAAAATAAATTGTCAAAACAATTTCCCTTAAAAATGTTAGGGTTTTGTTCCTATGGTATCGTGGCAGTTGTGGTAAAAGGAGCTGTGGTTCTGAGTGTCTGCAGTGTAACCCCAGTTCAGCATAGACCAGGGCAGCAACTTCTTTCATACAGCTGGAGAAAACAAGATGCCATTCAAATAGAAAATAATACAGTTGGTAACAGCTCACTAGCTTATGCCTTTTTGTTTTCTTTAGCTGGGTAACTTTTTCTTAAATGTTGTTTTTTCCTCTAACTGTTCTTGTCACTATCTACAAAACAGCTGCAGCTTTGATCAAGCTTTTGCTTTAGTTTTAGTTGTCGTCCTGTGCAGAGGGGTGCTAAACAAAGTTTTGAACAGGAACCAATGTGAAGATGCATAATAAATCAAGTTTCAGAGTCCCTGAATCTAGCTGTGAAAGCTATAAATTACAATTTCATTTGCTTAAGGGAAGCACAGATTTCATGTTAAATGTACCCAAAGTTTTTATATATGCTATTCTAAAATGAATAGAAGTGTTTCAGGTCTGCTACCATCTGAATGCCATTATTCTGAGAATGCCAATTCTGCAAACACCTCTACCTGCCACTGAATACTGCAGGATTTAAGCACATACTGGGAGCTAGCAGGCACCTGCTGTGAGCCTTAACAACCTTGAATTGCCTTTCTATGAGTAATGTGGTGATTATGTTACCCATACCAAAATTCTCTCTTAACCATATCTTAACAGATAAATGTGTATTCTGTGCTAACAGGGTGTGATAGCAAAAGTAGTTTTCCCTGTAAGACTCTTCCTTCAGTGAAAATGGTGTATTCATCTAAAAGCAGTTCTAGGGAGAAAAACCTTCTGTCATTTCCTCTTTGTGCTTTCTGTGGATAGATGTAGCTGTAAATGCTTTTATTTTGTGATTTTGAGGAGAGTGATGGCCTAGGTATCTGTACTCCCTGAGAGTCTCTGTAGCTCCTTCTGGCTGTGAAGAAGTTATGGCTTTCCTGATGCTGCAGCAGTCCTGGGAAGGTGGGATGCTAATGGGATTGCAATGGGTAAAGGAGTTTACCACATTGCTGCAGGAAAACACTTTCCCTTCTGAAGTTATTCACCAAGTGCTGCAGAAGAGATTGAGAGGACCCCACTTATCCAGCAGGGACATGGGCAGCAGCTGTTAGATTTTCCACTGCTGTGTGAGTGCACATGCACATAGAGGTCAGTTCCCAGTCTGTCAGGATGCAGGAATAAGGAGCACTGAGTCATGTGAAGAGTCTTTCTCTGAGTTTCTTTAAAAACTGAAAGGGAGGGGAGAAAAAAAAAACATTGTTCCAAAGTGGTTGCTTGGAATTACTTCTGGTAGGGGCCAGATTGCAATTACAGATGTGCTGAAAGCAGTGTCAGCTCTCTTGACAAATTCAGCATTTGTGCTGCTGTCCACAGTATCTATTTCAGACAGCTTGAGCCATAAAGTGTTCTGGCTGTAAGATTGAGAGCCTGCAGATGCTGACAGAGCCTCGGGTTCGTGTTCCTCAGGTACTTTCACACTGATTGTTGTAATGAGGGGACCAAGTGATTTTAAAATCAGGGCACCACCAATTTTCAGTTTTTCTGCAAGCCCTATGCCCTTCTGTAGAAGTAGTAAGAATTGAAGCTTATAACTTCACCTTTGCCACTCGTCTGCTCAGTCTTTATTTACTTTCTGAAAGAGTAATATTGATCTGAGGACATTATTATAATTTCACTATTTTCTATCACGTTTTCTAGGTATTCAATTGTTTGATTAGATTTTTTTGACCACTGTTGTGCCTGGAGCAGAGAGTTTTATTGAGCTACTCTGGATAATGCTTTGTGAATTTAGAGTTGTGCAGCATGTAGAGATAGCAATCTTGCAGACTGTATCTCCTGAATTAGATTGGTTTGAATCTCACTGATTCTTATCACCTGGCCTCTGTGAATAAAAAGGGTAGCTGAGAGCCTGAAACCTGGCTTCCAACAGCAACTGGCCTTAAGTGATACTCAGAAATGGTAGAGGAAAAGTAAGTTTATACTTAGTAAAAGCCAGTTAGAGAATTTTAACCAAATCTTGTAAACAGTGTTTATTTGATGTCTTCACATCTTGTAGGTTTATGTAACTGTCTTGCAATTAAGGTTGATTCATCCATAGCAAGAAAACAAAAAACAAAAAAATTTCATGTGACATATTTTTTTTCTTGAAAGCAGGTTTTAAGTCTAATATGCTTAGAGCAGGAATTCTTTCTGAAAATTCCCTTAACATTGAGTGGGCTTTTCAAGCCTCTAGAAAACAATCCCTAAGACCAATTCTCTTGGCTGTGAACTGGTTTCTTAAGAGGAGCTGTGCATTCAGACTTGGTGTGTTCCTGTGCCATCCAGTAGCACCTCCTCTGCTTTCCTGCATTACTCCTGGAAATGTTGTTGTTGTGCAGGTTGCATGACTGGCAGAGAGGATGAAGTTGTGCTTGGTATCCATAAATAACTCACTTGTTAAATGAGTTGTTGTTGAGCAATAAGTAACAACTAAGAACAAATCCAGCCTTGACCGAATTGCAATTGGAAAAAGGAATGATTGGAGGGGAAATATCTGTCAGGGGTCAAACAGTCCTTTCATCAAAACATTAATGTTTAAATGCACTCAGAACCTCTAGATGGGAGGGTGCTGCTTCAGATGTCATCAGAAGGATGTGAAAAACAGGAGTGTTTTATATCCTGAGACATGGAAATGGATGAGAAGGTAATCTTTCCCTGATCTGGCTTCCATTGGTGCACAATGGATGTTGGGTAGCTCAGTGCTGAGCTGAAACACACTGTACCTTGGGTGGGGGAAGCCCAACTGCATGAGCCCAGGGATGCAGATTTAAGAGATGAATTCCCATCACCAGGAATGGGGAGTTTAGTGCTGGTTGTGTGCTTTTCCCCTCTGTATTGGGATCATAAGTAGTCAAATAAGCACTACTGCCTCTGAAACTTTTGTAAAGCCCTCTGTATGTGAGACTCAATAGGACTGAATAACATGGAGGAGCAAGGAAAATGTTCTTATTTCATTATTAACTCCAGTCAAATGTAGAAATTAAACTCATACTTGACAAAGAGGCAAACAATTCTAATTTAAAAATAAGTACTCATGAAGCTGAAAAACACTGAAACACTGAGGTTTTTCCACCTTTTTTGTAAAGGGCCTTTTGCAAGTTTCATTGCTCTGTTATCCTCAGGTTTGTCATGGTTTGCAGAATGGATTGGGTTGAAATTTGTGATATGCTGGAGCTGAATTTCCCAGGTCCTTCCTTAAAGTGTCTAGTACAAAGATCTAGTAAGATGCATCTTTATATCATATATACTAACATGGAGAGTGTGACTGAAACTCAGAACATTTTTATTTCAGATATTTAGGATGTAATTAGAAATATGTACTAAAGTTTAATGATGTCAATGGCTTGTTATAATGGTCTGTATAGATAAGGATGTGAAATAAAACATGTAGATTAAATTTTTTGGTTGAAAACTGCCTGACAAACAGCAGTTAGTTCTGAGCATTTTGATAATACCTCATTTACTCACAAAGTCACTTCACAGGAGCCTGTATGGTGCTGAGCTTTGAATTTATGATTAAAACAGTATAACACCGTTGTTTTAACCACTGCTGGACTATGCTTGACTCAAGGTCTTCTGCTTTTCACAGTGGCTTTTGGTGCCTGGCAAAAAAGGGGCTTGAGGTAAACATGAATTTTCATGAATGTGCTCAGTTGCATCTCTGATTTCTACACCTGATCAACAGAGTTCAGGGATAAGAAGGTGGGAAAGCCCAGCAGCAGAGTTCTATCGGGGGTTATATTAGGGTCACCTATTGGAGCTGGGAGGAGGGATGGATGGCCCCACAGCTGTTTGGGTTGGGATACTAAAAGCCCCAAAAGTAGGTGTAGCTTGTATTTGGCAAATGGGCATAAACAACCTGGCCCCAAACACTGCCATTAGTACCTGGGGGACTCCTGGGTTGGGTGGGCATGTCTTTGTTGTCCTGCAGCACTGACAGTGCCTGGATCCTGGCCCTTGCCTGCTCCTGGCCCTCATGTGACTGAGAAAGAGAGATTTTCCCCAGAAGCTCTATTAGACATACCTTTACTCACTTGCCTCAAAGCATTCACCTTAATTGTGAA